GCTTTAAAACTGATTGGTTTTGTTGCTAAAACAAAGTTTGTGAATTCAGTTAAATAATTGTTAAAATATATCTGTCATTTGTGTGTTTTTAGCTTTCTTCCTGTATAAAAAGCTTTTAAAAATTTGAAACATTAGTGCAGTGGTTTATGTTAAAATAAACCTTTGGGTTAAGTTGTTGCAAGCAGGGGGGGTTTTGTGTTTCAAGTTGCATTAAAAAGTCTTGAATTTAACTTGCCCTATGCTGTAGGAACCCTGAATGATGCAGTACTGGAACCTACAAAGTAAAAACAAGAAGGCTAACATTACAGGAGTTAGTTTTTATCATTTTGCATTTGACTGGTGCTAATTTAGGCAACGCCACACTGGGTTGCCTCATCAACATCCTGGACGATGTGTTACAAAAAAAATAGAATTAGAAACAATAAATTCAGGTACAATAGATGCTCTAATTTTTATTTTCTCTCCAGCCTTGTTGGTCCATGTACAAGGTAAACGCAGGGGGGGATTTACCATTAGGCAATACTAAGCAGTTGACTAGGGACCCAAGTTGTTTATAAAAGTCAAACAACTTACAACTTAGCGCTTTTGTTGCTATATTTAACAACTTTTCAGACCCCTTTACCACTTTTATTTTTTTTTTAAACCTAGTGCCAAATCGTTTTCCTGATACTGGAGAGTTTGGCAACAAGAAAAGCAGCAAACTCTGCTCTCTAGAGCAAGTAGATTGGTAACCCCGCCTCCTGCTCTCCTCTATCTTGTCTGCTGTCATGATTCATGCAGGTATTATTTCATCCAAATGAAAAATGGAGAACAGATAAGCAGATCATGGCTTGTCTACAGTGAAAAGAAGGACTGGGTTATTTACTTTTGGAAACACATGAAGGAGCCATCGGCTGAGCTTAGCGCTTGGAAAAAAATATTCTCATTCCTTTTGACTCGGCATGAAAAGTCAGCTGAGTACAAAACATCTAGAGGAAAACAAGAAAGAAAAGTTACAAGAAGAGAGGGACAAAATGAAGAAAAAATAATGTATGTCTATTCTATTAAAGTTTCTGTATCTGTATAATGGGCCTCTTTTATGTATTGTCTTCTCAATTCAGAGGGCCCCCTGCCGGCTTTTGCCTAGGGCGCCCAAATTTCCTAAATCCACTCATGGGTAAATATCAGCACATTTCTTCTAGCAACTTAGCAGAACAGCCTTTATGTTGCAGT